ATATTGAGACCAATGGATGCGTTTATATGAGCGCCGGTCCCGGCCTTGTATTGAACCATAGCGTCCACAGAATGTCTTTCCCATTCATTCTCAAAGTTACAGACTTTTCCAGATTTAGTGTCTTTTCGTATTCTTTACTATAAAATACTTACGAAATATTGATATTCCAATGAAAAGGCTCGCAAAACATCGAACAGAAATAAATAATCGCTTTTATAAACATATGAAAGATAGAAACAACTTGTTAAAATTGTTGAATATGCAGATTATTAATTACAGTTACCTCTTTGCCTCGAAATCCGGGTAATATAACAACTATTGATATAATAATTGAAATAAATGCAAATATAAGAGAATACACTTCAATATCAACGGAAGCCGGAGTCTTGTGGGAGCCATAAGTGGTCGGAAAGCCTTCTGAACGAAAAGCTTGATATAAATTTGTTTCACGAATCCGTTCATAAGATTCCATTGTGTTTACAATTTACTAATTGTTTGATATTTATTTGTAATAAATTATTATATAATAGCTTTTCCTAATACATCTTTATGTAATATTTAACAAAAGTGATATATTTATTAATATTAAAGCATAACAGGAATACATTCACGTCTTCCCAGTTAAACCTCACATCCTTTTAAGCTATCCTTCCGTTAGATAATGCTATTCACAACTTTTAACACAAAAACCACAAATTTATCACTAATTTACAAAAATTGCCTCTAAATTAACACTAACTATAGTTTTCTCATTAACATTATCTTACATATTGCACGTATTTAATTTATAATAAAGCGTAGACAAATCCATTACGGTGGTAACTTTGTAGTTATATAGAACTAGATGTAATTGGATTAGTTAGTGTGACATTTAATTTACACCGAGTATTGTCATTCGTTCAATATATTCATGTAAATAATATGCACTAATAATAAGTATTGTCCATCACTTTCAAAAAGTATACATTTTTATTATAAAATAATACCTATAATACAGAGTCATATCGATTGCAAGATAATTGGAAAACTCTTTGTGGAAACAAATTATTTAATTGTATTAAAATGTGAGACAATTGTAATGCAATTGTTCGTATGTTTGGGTATTTATATATAAAATCATTTATACAATAATTGTAATTCATTTTGAAAATATATTTCCAATAAAAAGCAAATTATTTGACAAAAATTAAACTAAA